CCCATCCAGTGTGGGATAAGGCGCTAGGTAGGGGAGAGCGGGGTGAGGGTTGGAGGAGGAGGGCGCGCAGGGGCGGCGGCGAGGGATGGGGGGGGCGAGACACGGAAAAGGGGGGCGGGGAGGGGGGAGGTGGTTGGGAGGCCGCTTTGGACCAGGTTGGGTTCTCCTCCGGGTCTTTCCGTGTCACAGAAATGGCTTCCCCCGTTCCTGCTCTTCGGTTACCCGGCGAGGCTGGGAATTGCGCTTGGGTGCAGGAAAGAAACGGTGGGGGTAAAAAGTGTCTCCACACACGTGTGAGCTACGTTCACTACCGTGATAATGAGTCCTCCATTAGGGGGAGATGGGCGGGGATAAATTTAATAAATAAACAAACATCCCCCCGTGTTCTAATACAGTACAATACAATAATCTATACACATGTGCGCGCGCACACAAAAACACATATATATTACAATATGATGAATCCACTAACAGAGCTAGGTTTGCACGTGTGCTAAGTCGTCAAAACAACTAAGCCAGGTTAACTGTAATGAAGTTTAGTATGCTGTGGGGAAACAGTCCTCAGGACGTACCTCCCCATTGAGCTACAGGCAACCCAAACATGCCGGATTTGCTGATCATGCTGAGGTATAAACCCAGCCTGGTGCCCTCCCAAAGGTGTTGGGTGACGATCCTCCTAATTTCTGGGCGTTGTGATCCTACGTCTCTGGAAGAAACCGGGTTGGGGAAGGCTGGACTGTGATATCGAAAGCCAGAGGTAGGACTGCAGACAAGGCTGCGTGCATGCAGAGCGGGTATTCTGTTGCTGGATGATGAGTTTTTATTGGAAAACCTATTTCCCTCTGATGCAGGGCCGTGATTTGGCAGCAGTTTGCCATAGTCAGCAGAGAAGGTGCTCTTCTGCTCCCTGTGCCGTATAACTGGAGGTGCTGGAAAGGAAAGGCCCAACATTTTCTGCGTGCAACGCAAGTATTCTAACTGAGGTCTTCTGGGTGTGCTTTTAGAGCTCTCTCTTGGCATCCATTCAGTTCCCTCTCCCAGTTGACTTTTTATATTTTTAAATAAGCGCTTTAATTTTTGAACAAACATGGAAAGCTGGCATGCTGGAAAAGCAACCTCAGCATAATCGTAATTGCCGAGAATGCCTCTGGGTCTCAAGTGGACCCCATAATTTTCTTAGAAAATCAACATGACAAATGGCAAGTGGAAACCCCCTTGCCTGCCCCCCCCCAAAGAACAAGCATTAAATTGGGTAAGTAGGAACTTTCTTTGGGAACAAAGAACAGCAGAGACCATTCTGATCAATCAATCTTTTGAAAATGGAGTCATCCCCCAGGATAGCATCTGCAAGAGATTTTTAACATTCCAAAGGTTCCGGACCCCTCCTCTAACTGATATGCTTAGGACCCTCCCCAGGCCACAGGTAATGCACTCAGACTGCGTGTCCATCTAGCTGAGTTCACTTGTTTGGATTGACAGTGTTTCCTCAATTTGGGGGGCAACCCCCCCCCCAATCCATTTAACACAATGAATGTAACGCTTGTTCTGGTAAACTTGCTACTATGACTGCTACCTTTTTCCTTGTTTAGTTCGTTAGTTCTGTTCTTGATGATTTCATGGACACATCTGAGTTGCTTTCTTGGCAATAACTGCAGTTTGCCATTGCTTTTTCCGGGATGTTGTTTGATTTCCCAGTCTGTATGTACAGCTCTGGGTTTTCCTGCTGGTGTCCCATCCAAATCCTAACTACATTCAATCCTGCTGAGCTTCTGAGACCAGATAACATTGGTTGAATGCTGCCATCTGCTGAGACCAGAACAAATAATTCTTGGCCTCCCCAATTATATCTTGCAATCTCTCAAGGATCTATGAATCTTTCTCCCTGTTATTTCCATCTCAGACACTCTGTATCATATTTGCTGTGTCTTCCTTGTGTAAGTTTATCCGTTCTGAGGTTCCATTCATCCCACATTCCCTTTTCAGTTAATCTCTTTCTAATCTAGGTCTGTGCAGAATCCAAACCACCATGTCTAAGCTTGCCCAAGCTAGCAAAATGATGAAGGGAACCGGTGGAGGTGTGATCCGGTCAATCATCAGAGCTGGACAGGCCGTTCCAGGTCCACCTCTAGGACCTCTTCTTGGACAGGTAACCAAAAGAGAAAGACAGGGTGGCAAAGTTAGGTTAACTTTATAAGGATAGCATCTGAGGCTAGATCAGCAAGACAGAAGTTAGATAAGCAAATTTCATTGTGAAATGGCCACAAATTGGGATATGAATCAAGTTCTTTGTTTTTTTTTCTCCAGCTGAATCAAGCCTATAGCCAAGGCTATATTATACCTTTTGTTTTTCAGTTGTTAAGTCGTGTCCGACTCTTCGTGACCCCATGAACCATA